CTAATTCTTTGGCTGATGCTTTAGCCAAACAGGGGGTTTCTAGGGAAGATCTTTTTTGTGCTTCTTTGTAAGTTGTTATTAATTTGGAAATCTGTACTTAACTAGCCCGGAGAAGTTGCAACTCGTGCCTTTCTTTGGGGACTTTGTACTATTGTCTATTGCTGATTAATAAAATTATTTCAGTTATCAAAAAAAAAAAATCTTTGTTGGCAAGCTCATCTTAGCTACAAGCCTAAAATCAGATTTGAACATGTTGTTTCTTGTTTGCCCGGCAGTCTGTCCCATATCTCAATGTTGTTCTTATAGCTGTCTCGTAAAAATTTCCTATACCAGTCAAACAACACACCAGATTCACTTTACTCCAACCATCTTGCTCTAATTCTATGGGCAATCTTCTATTTCTTTCCCATCATAGATGATTGGTCAAAGATAAAGTGGTTAGTTTTGGGGTATATCTTGATCATCAATCTTAGACTTCTTAGTTGCAAATTGATTATCAGGATTCAGTAGATGCACCTGATCATTCGTACTAATTAAGAGTTTGTTGATCTTTTTCCTAACACAAATGGAGATTTTTACTTCTTTGCCCTGGATTGTGATATCATCAAAGGACCATTATGACTTGAGAAAGAACAAGCATTTGTTATGGTACAACTCCAAATATACCAGTTCAACTCCGACAATATCTCCTTGCTTCTTTGTACAATAAATATAATACATGCATATCCATCTATCTATCTATCAACTTATTTTCAGTATTATGCAGCAGTTACTGAGCATCCTTTTACTTGATGATAGAGGAGTTATTAAGCTTTCAGATGCACTTTTTATAATACCAAGAGGCTTTTGCTTTTGTATTTTCAGGCATTTTCAACAGTTGGCACACCAGACTATATTGCTCCCGAAGTACTGTTGAAGAAAGGCTATGGAATGGAGTGTGATTGGTTCGTTTATTGAAAATACCAGTGTTGGTTCAAGTTATTATTATTATCTTCAGTATCTATTACTTTTTTATGAGTAACTGTAAAAAGTTGTGATTTGAACAAAAGAACATTATATATACAATGTATCATGCCTCCCAAATATAGGCTAGTGATTACTACCCATCCTTCCCCAAAAAATTATGTATTACAGTGCAGCCCAGAATAACTACTTTATGTTTACCCTTTGTTTGGCAAGTCCATTGGCCAAACCATTTTCTGATCTCCTTACCCAAAAAACGTTTGACACTATTTCCTTGCTAAATGTCTGGTTTCCTTCATTATGAAACTATATCTCCACAAGCCTTGACTATTGCCAGCCATTCTACCACCACTTTAGAACCTCCCTCTATCACCACACCTCTTAGGTTTAATTCTCTAGCCTCCAATGCTTGCAATACTGCCAACATTTCTGCCCTTATTGAGCTCCTGCAACCAGCTGGACCTGAGAACATCACTATATGACAGTATAACACCATGTGCATTTCTTAATCCCCCTACGCTTGATGTAGCAAAAAAACAAAATCCCCTATGCTTGAAGCATCTGGGTTACCAATACAGCACCCGTCAAAGTTAAGCTTTATGATCTAAGAGGAATCCACTGCATTTGTCTCAAACTTTGTACATACAAAATCCCAGGCACATCGTGTCATCCTCTACATATATCATCCATGAGGAAGTGGCAACCAATTTCATGGTTTTAACCCAATATATCACTTTGACCATAATGCTCTCTATGATGTTTTCTTTACTTCTATCTTTCCCTCCAAAACTTTTTGATGATTTTTTTAAAGAATCTTTCCCTTTAAAAGATCATTGCATTTCTTTCCGCCAAGGAGGGTATAAATAGAAATCAATTATTTTGGGAGTAGGAATGGCAACGGGGCGGGGCACCCCCTCCCCGTCCCCGCCTTGAAGTCACAACACCTTGCCTCGTACCCGCCCCGTCCCCGGTGGCGGGGTGGGGCATCCATTCCCCATCGGGGACGGGGAATCCCCGAATTTTCCCCGCTCCAAGGCAATTACTTAAAAATTATCTATTTTATGGACAATTTATACATAGGATATAGGAATTTGGGGGTATTTTAGAATTGAGTTATAATACTTTAGGGGTAATTCAAAAATAAAATTATGGGATCCTAGGATTTTAAAAAATTTAGGGAAAACTTAGAGATATTTTAAATATCAATATTAAACCTAGAGATATTTTACTAATTTACCTTTGGGTTCGGGGCGAGTTCGGGGAATTATATACAAAACCTGTCCCTCTCCATACCCGGTTCGGGGAAAAATTATTTTCCCCGTCCCCGCCCCGTCCTTGTTTAGGGTTGGGGAAAACCCGCCCCATTCAGGGTGGGGCGGGGCCCCGGTTTTACGGGGGAAATTGCCATCCCTATTTGGGAGTAATGATATGGAATGTATAAATTGGGGTAATGTTTACCACAAAGCTCCTGTGTATGTAAAACAAATTTGCAATTCTATTAGCTTTGGGCTGAATGGCAGTTGTATATATTTACACTTTATTTTAATTACTAAAATTTAAAGTAACCAATTAAAAAAAATGCTACCCTTGTGTACCACCACATTATTTTCCCTCTTCTTCTAGGCAACTGAAGAAAGCTGAACTGAATAAACTTACTACATCCTTTAGAGAGATCCATCTGCACCCAAAAAGAGAAGAGAACCATTGCCAAATACAAATACCAAAAGGGCAGGAAATTGATAAATGCATATTTAGATTAGGAAACCTTGGATTTTGGGGTCTGCTCTGTGCATCTCATTTAAATGGGCCCAAAGATGAGTACTCAGAAGGTGTATAATGCATTTGCAGGGGATGGGACAAACAGGGATAATTTGTATCGATAAGCTACAATTGAAAGATACCCTGTGTATAGTTTTATCTGCTTTCCGAGGTGTAGTAACTGGGGCTAATTTAAGGTCAGCTGAGGCTTATTTCTTAGCATTGTCTATGTTGTTTTTCTGCGTACTGTCTTATGATTCAAAAACACTATTTGATGTCTTACTGATCAAAACAATAAATAAACCTCTTTTTGATCTTGTTTTCAGCCCCAAAAAATCAGTAGTCAGTGATCACTTGTTAGATATCTGTAGGTGGAATTTTATCCAAGGACTAGGATACAGATCCCTAGTCTCTTTGGATGTTGTGTTATCATTCTTCTGTACAAGCTAAAAATTTAGTCAGCTAGTATTTAATTTCCAAAAATAAAGGAATTGGCTAGTACTTTAGGCATAAATAACTGGACCTATTATTTGTTTTTGTTTTAATTTGGTTGCCTGATCATGTAGTTTCTGCGGTATCTATGTAGAAATAACTTGTTCTTGAAAAACATGGGAAAGTTTACAGCAATTTCCATTTTTATGTACTCTTATGCAGTGGACTGACTGCAGGTGGTCACTAGGTGCAATAATGTATGAGATGCTTGTTGGTTATCCTCCATTTTATGCTGATGACCCAATAACCACTTGCAGGAAGGTAAAAACATGGAGCGGATTCTTTTGATATTGTATTTAACCATTGTATTTTGAAGATGAGATCTATGCATGTTTTTAAAAGGCTTACAGGTTTTGCCTCAAGGTTTAAACCTCATAACTTTGGTTCGAGGCTTAAGTCTTTGTCAGAAAGAAGCATAAGCCTCAAAAACCTGTTACAATTGAGTTATTTGATTTGATACCGAAAAAAAAAAGATTGTTTTATGTTTTTTTCAAAGTTTAAAGCATATGGGAAGGTCACTTGGGTAATTGTGGGACAAATAAAAAGATTAGAATGAAAAGCCAATGGAACAAACAGATTTCCTAGTTTCTCTTCGGGTTTTAGAAGAGTTCAGTGCAACAAGGGCCAAAAAAGAACCTTCATCATTCTCTCTTCATTCTTGGTCAAATCAAGTGGACTTTTTTTTCTAATTATTCTATACTTTCTGGTGACTAGAAATTTAGCATCCTAATTTTGTTTGTTTTGTTTATTTTTTCTGTTTCCTCCACAAGAAAATACTATCTACCCAATTTTTACCTCTCAATTCTCTTCCTGATGGATTTCTTTTTTCTATTGTTTTTTTTTTTTTATTTTGCATAGATTAAACCAACTAAATTGTTCTCTTTCTTTCTAAAATGCAAGCAAGATTCTCCTTTGACTACTGTGTGTGTAATGGAAAATTTACAATACAAATTCAGCAGCTTAATTTGGACAAGCAAGAGCATTAGCAGATGTGTTGTTAGATTTTCTTCCCTCTAGTTATCTTTTTTCTTATTGTTATGATCTTAGACATTGTTAGATTTAGTCGTAAGGTCATTTAATGGAAAACGTTGGTATCTTTTATTGTTGTTGTTCTATCATCATCATCTTAGACATGGTTAGGTCATCATAGAATCTTGGGTGGAGAAACAACAATCTTTAGACCCCAAAGCAACTTTACTGGTCTACAGACAATTAGTGAAAAAAAATGGCCATGAGAGTTGATTGCTTTAACATGATGAAAGTAGCCATATGACTGTTTCCCCAACTCTTTGTTTTTCTTCTCTTGTAATGGTTTATTGGACCTTGGTCCTTGTAGCATATGAATAAATATGTCAATTTCTGGCCGTGTTTTATCTGAAGGAATTCTACATAAATTGGGCACGGAGACAAAGAAGATTCATGTACAAGTCTAACAAGCATGAGAATACGATTTTGAGTCTGATGGCAACTACTTTGTGCGATAACATCAAGGGTTAGATCCGTATCTAGTCCAACCTTTCAAGACCCTGGATAGGTGGGGTTAAGTTTGTCTAATGGGAATCTGAAATTTCAATTGTGTATAGTCTCCTTCACATTCTTGATGAGGTGTTTCTGAATCCCTCTCAACTCTGACTCTAGTTTTTGGACTCCCTTCTCTTCTGGCCTCTTCTCTTGTGCCTCCTAGAGTTGGTGTAGACTAATTTTCTCCTAGAGTTGGTGCTTTCTTCTGGGATGTCTTCTATTGGAAGGTTAACATTTCTGACCTACTACAGAAAAAGAGACCTAAGTGTTGCCCTTCTTACTTGTAGTGTATACTTTGCAAAGCTAATGGTGGGACATGCTATCACTTGCTAATCTCCTGTCCTTTTGTTTCTTATATTTGGGATTGGTTTCTTTCCCTATTTGGTTGCGGGTGGATGACTCCTTCTAACATGTTAGATCTTTTTGCACCCTTAGTTTTCAGCCGGCCAAAGAAGTGGGCAAGGATCATGTGCAAATGTACTAAAGCTGCAATAATGTGGATAGTATGGGAGGAAAGAAATTCTCGAATTTTCAAAGAGAAACAAAGAACTCTAGAAGCAATAGTAGAATCCATCACTATTAGAGTGGCCCATTGGGCGCCCTTGGAGAGTTTGTCAACTATTTCAATATAGTGCATCATGAGGAAGTGGAGAGAGGTGGCTGGAACTTCTACAAAAAAAAAAAAAAAAAGAAAAGAAAAAAGACTGGCATATTTAGGGATGTGAAAGGGCTTATAGCCTTATAGTGGCATTATTTTCAGCACCTATTGGAGTGAGTGATTCTCTAAGGGTGGAGGTCATGGTTGTTATGGAAGGGGTCCCCAAAGGGAAAGAATGACTAATTGTGGAGGGAAATTGAAAGTTGGTGATGGATTGGCTACAGAATGGGGAGGCAGCATTTTGGCAGTATAGAAACAAGCTAAAAAAGCTCTTATGGCTGACTAGAGAAATGAAAGTGAGATTCCAATGCGTTAAAAGGACAGCTAACAGTATGGTTTAGCCAAGAAAGGGCTGGGAGGGAGCATATTTTGTGGGCGCAATTGTAAAATAAAGTTTGATTAAGGTGATAAAAGCTTTTTTATCTTTCCTATGGATGTATGTAATTTGTACACTTTGGTTCGCTCTAATAAAATGTTTAATTATTGATAAAAAAGGTCTCGTGAGCCTCTTTTATTCTTGGAAAAGGTGAGCTCTGAGCATCCAATTATCACAATGTCACACCCTTTTTGTTGATGAATTTGAGATGGCAAGAACACACCTAGGGATTTCTACCAGGGCCTGTATCTAAATTCTAAAGACAGACAATTCTGGTTAGAAGGGCTGGACGGTGGGCTCTTTGAGCCACTTTTTCCTTTTACCATGCCTTTGTTGTTACACATGAGCACTTCTGTGTGAAGATATGAGCTTATCATTTGCTAATCTCCTGATCCTTTTTTTTTTTTGTTGGATTTTGGGAGCACATCTCTTCTCCCTTCTCCAAAGAGAATGGGAAAGTTCATGTAAAATGTGTGGGAAGGCATTTATGGTTGGTGTTGGAAGAGCAGAATGCAAGAATTTTTTTTTTAGAAAAGGTAAAGTACGATTGTATTAATAATAGGTCCTGTGTACATTGAGTAGATGTACAAAAGAAGGCCATCCTCAAAAAAGTATGATCAGAAATACTATCTTTAAAAGCAGTATGTATAGACATCCAACTTTTCAAAACCTCTATTGCCAAGTTAATGACCTTCGCTTCAGTAGAAGATTTTTTTTTTCAAAAATCCTATTGTTCCTTTCTGACCACGCAGCCCACAGCACTGCCAAAGGGATGGAATTCCAGCATAATTTTCCTTTTTAAGACATTCCCTGAATATGCCATTCCTCAAACAGAGCTCTAACTGAGGCTGGCATAAACCAACTTAGATTCAGAGATTTGAAGAAGTGAGACCAAACTGCAGAACTAAACTTGCAGTGAAGGAAGAGGTGCCCGGATGATTCTACTTGCTCATTGCAAAAACAGCACCTCCAATCTGGCAAAAAGAAACCTTTTTTCAGCAGCATTTCTTTGGACAAACACTTGTCCAGAACTGTCACCCATACAAAAAACTTGACTTTTAGAGAAGCCAAACTCTCCCAAATTGCATTTGACTAGGGAAAGGGGCTTCAGATCTCCCCACTACAAAATTGTAGAAAGATTTGACTGAGTATTCTCCTGATTTTGACCATTTCCAAACTCTTGAGTCTTGCATCTGGACATTTAGTTGTTGGTCTTGTAACAGATTAAGAAACTCTGCCACCTGCTGGATTTCCCAGTCATTAAAACTTCTCCTAAAGAGAGGAACCCAAACTAGTCTGCCTTCCTGAAACAAGAAAGAATCAGCCACTAAAGCCTCCTTATCTACAGCAATATTATACAAGGCCAGGAACAACTCTTTTAGAGTGCAGTCACCAGCCCAYTGGTCTGACCAGAACCTGGTTTTTCTTCCATTTCCCACTTTAAATTTGGTGCACCTACTGAACTGCCTATAAGCTTTACAAATTACTTTCCACACCCCACAACTGTAAGTACTGAGGGGAATAACAGCATCCCACCCATTGTTCCTTGAGCCATATTTCTCCTCAATCACCTTCCTCCACAGTTTGTTTGGTTCAGTTGAGAACCTCCACAACCAGCTTCCCAATAGGGAAAGGTTGAAAAGCTTTAGGTTTCTTATTCCCAACCCCCCCCCCCAATGATTGGGGCTTGCAGATATGTTCCCAGCTCACCAAATGGTACTTGTGGTAGTCTTTCCAGCCTTTCCAAAGAAAAGTTTTCATCTTTTTTTTTTTTTCCATTTCCTTCGCTAACTCTGAAGGAATGGGAAAGAGGCTCATAAAGTAAGTTGGGAGACTAGCTAGCACACTTTTGATGAGTGTAATCATGCCTTCCATGAAGCCAATTTACCCACTTTGCATCCCAATAGATTAGCCAAAATATGAATGTTAGGCACTTCTCCCACCGCTAATAGTTCACTTTTTGCTAAATTCACCTTCAGTCCTGAGATTATCTTGAACCAAAATAGTAAGCACTAAACACTTCAGATTAAGGATTTGGTCTTCTGAAGCACTACAGAAAAGGAGTGTGTCTTCTGCATATTGTAGGATGGAGATTTTTGTACCGTTAGGACTTACTTCAAAACCCTCTAAGAGATTCAGATCTGAGGCCCTGCCCACCATCTTGCTGAGACCTTCCATCACCAATAGGAAGAGCAACGGTGATAGAGGATTGCCTTGTCTCAACCCTCTTGAGCTGTTGAAATTTCCTTTTGATGTCCCATTTAGCAAGATTGAGAACCTTGGAGTGGAAATGCAGACTTTTATCCAGTTTCTCCATTTTGAACCAAAATGCATTCTTTCTAACATACATCAGTCTAAAAAAGCCCAATTTACATGATCATAGGCTTTTTCTAAGTCTAATTTGCACACCAGTCCTGAATTTCCGCTTCTTTTCCTAGAGTCAACTCATTGGCTATAAGAATTCCGCCATGAATTTGCTTGTCATAGACAAAAGCCCCTTGGTAGATAGAAATCAAAGAGTCCATGACTCCTCTTAGCCTAGTTGCTAGGATTTTGGCTAAGATTTTATACACACTAATAATCAAACTTATTGGCCTGAAATCTTTCAACTCTTTAGCTCCAGATTTCTTGGGTATTAGAGACAAGAACGTCACATTTAGACTTCTCTCTAGAGCAGCTGACTCATGAAACTCTTCTAGCATCTTCAGCAGATATGGTTTAATTAGCTCCCAGAACCTCTTAAAGAAAAGGATAGAAAACCCATCTGGCCTGGGGGCCTTTTCCCCTTCCAAGCTGCCAATGGCCTCCTTAACCTTCTCTTCAGAAAAGGGTTTTTCTAATTCCAAGGCCTTCTGATCTGAGAGTGAATCAAACTGTAGACCATTCAGCTTTGGTCTCTTCCTACACAGGTCACTGAAGAGATTTTTAAAGTAACTTTCAAAGGCTTCTGCAAATCCTGCGTTGATATCTATTCATGTAGTTCAATAGTTAGAAATGATGGATGAATTCAATGGGTTTAGCATGAATAATATATTAAGGAGATGGGTGGTTTAGGAGGATGAATTACTGAATAGTATGGAGGCAGAACAGGCAAAAGGAGATTGCAGTAAGTTAGGGTAAGGATTGATTACCAAAAAAAAGTTAAGGAGTAAGAGGGAGGGGAGACAGAGAGTGAACCAGTTAAAACTAACTTGTGGGTTAGGCTGGGGCTTTGGTTGTGGGCACCGTCTCTGGGTTTGTGGTTTTCGGTGTTGTTTTTTTTATCAGTAACAACTTAACTCTCCCAAGTGAGAGTACAGAATGTGATTCAGTGTTGATAGGTACTGATATTGGGAACTTGGGATTTATTTCATTGGTTGAATAGTCTTTTTGAGGCTATGGTGTTTCTTTAGGCTCAATTTTTTTGTCTTTCCATTGGGCTACACATATTAAGAGCATCTTTGGAGGTTTTGTTTTGGCTGTGCCCCACTTTTGTGTCATTTGCCCCCACCCCCCCCCACCCCACCCAATTTTCATCTTTTTCCCTTCTCTATTATGAATCATTTGCCTCTCTTTTCGATAATTGATTGAACTCATTAAACATTGTTTATTCTGATTATACCAAATTGTAAAATTTATTGATTTTGTACACAAATATGCTCTCTTTTTATTGCATTTTCTACTTCTGTTACAATTTTAATAGTATGTCTGTTCATTGTGTGGTTATAGGCTATCATAACCTATCTTTGTTTTAAGTTGATGAAGAACAATGCTTGCTTGACATAGCGTTGATTGATGATTGCCAGATTGTGCACTGGAGAAATCACTTAAAATTTCCAGATGAGGCAAGGTTGTCACCAGAGGCAAAGGATCTTATTTGTAGGTTACTATGTGATGTTGAACATAGGCTAGGTACAGGAGGGCCTGACCAAATAAAAGTATGGTGTTCAATATATTGTGTTTATTTATTGCTTTTGGTTATTTGTTGGATCATATATTTAACTATTTATTGCATTTTGTGTACTTCAGGCTCATCCTTGGTTCAAAGATGTCGTATGGGACAAACTCTATGAAATGGATGCAGCATTTAAACCAGAGATCAATGGGGAACTTGACACACAAAATTTCATGAAGTTTGATGAAGTACGATGCAACAAAATTCCTCAGTTACCCTTGTTTATGTTGGGTTTTGTAATTTTCCATTTAAACACAGTTACATTACCACATGCTTTCATTATTCTTGTACTATATTTGGATTATGCTAATCTTTTCCTTCATTCTCTTTCATTTTGTGATCTATAAGATGCTTCTCTCATGTTCAATGTGATGTCCATGTAAATTTCTTTACTAATGAGAGAGCTAATGTGGATGTTGTTTTAGGTGGATCCTCCACCACCGGCAAGAACTAGTTCTGGACCCTCTCGTAAGGTATGTAACCACTAACCAGTATAAAAAGGATCGTTCTTTTCTTATCTATGTTTCTACATTTGGGGTACTGCCATTTTGATTTTGATCATACATTTTTTCTGATATTTATAATATCAACCTTCTGATGAATCTATCCATTCTAATCATTAAACTTTAAATGAAGAAAAAAGGGTTGTCAATCAGCTTAAGGAGTTTCAACAGTGTTTTAGTGGAACATTACTAATATGCAAGTATACTGGGCAGATCATAACAGACTGAAAAATATCATGATATTKATGTAACTTAAATGATATTTTGCTATCATTTTTGCTTGAATGGCACATATATGCATACCCATTCTTCTGGACATGATTGGAATGAATTAATACTAGAATAAAAATGATATTAACAAGTCTGGCAGGGAAAATGCCCATAGATGTTGATAAAATTTGTGTCATGATTTACTAAATCTTGATTTTAATAGTGTCAACCCTTTCTGCTCATCATTTGGCATTGACTATGAATTGGGTTGAAGAAAAGGGTGGAATTCTTTACTCTTCTTGTGGTCTTTAGGCTATTAAAGGAGAGAAAGAGAAGTTTTTTTTTAAGAATAAATTGAGAGTGCTCCAAAGAATTTGTAGGATATTTGATCTCTTATCTTAGACTGGATATTGGTCCTAAAACAGCAAGGACATGGGCCAAATTAATGTCAATTAACCTGTGGGATGAGATTATGGGATAGTAATTATTTATGCTTTGCTTTCTTTTTTGGGGAGAGACGGGGCTCAGTTTGTTGATATGTACTTGGTGTATGCCATATTTTAGTTTCAGATGCTACTTATAGTAAGTTGATCCTTCTTTTTGCAATGTTTATGTAATTCCTTACATTATATGTAAATGAAAATCTTTTTTACCTATAAAAAGCTACAGTAAAAATTATAGGCATATAACTTGGATGCTAGACTCCCATTGGATTAAATTGTAATCATCCTCAAATAAGGGAGCATTCACAAGCATATATATTGAAATTGACTAAAAAAAAGTATTAATCATAGATAGCTTGCTCAATTGTACCCTTGGGATGTTTTTTTCTTGGCACTATAGTGGGGTTAGCAGACTTCAAACCTTTTTTTTTTTGATAAGTAAAGAAGAAGTTTTGTTAAAGCATATCAAAAACAAGTGATACAATAAGCTTCCCACATAGAGGCATGAGGTGCAACCTCAAAATACCAAAAAAGTTGCAGATTAGCCCAGAAAAGGTTATCCCTATGCACCCCTTGCTTAATTGACGGTCAGCTAGCCCATTTTCCGTTCTCCTTTCCCATTGAATTTTCAGTGTCATGTTAGCAGGCTTCAAAACCTGAAAGCTTTGCTTCCTTTCCAGTATATATTACTCTAAAAATATGTACATTTTCTCATTTAGGTATGTATTTATTGATTATAAATCTTCTTGTGGTCTTGACTAGAAGTTCTACTTATCATGTCTTATGCATGTTTAATCTAGAAAATTTGGTGGTTGTTGATTGTGAATGGTGATTTAGGTAACCAGAGTCAGTTTATGGCAAACACAGCATTGTATATCATTATATCTAGAGACAGATTTTCTCTGTCAAGTGTTATTTAGGTGATTTTGGTTGTAGAACATGACGTGCATTCTAAGGCCATGTTTGGGAGTGCTTAAGTTAAAAATAAGTGCTTACTGAATAAGTACTTAAGAACAAGTGCTTATTCGAATAAGCACTTATTTGCATTTGGCACCCAACATTTTCAWAATAAGCACTTATTTTATATTGGGTGTTGGGTAGTCTTTTTCTCTAATAAGCATTTTTTACTTTTTCCCTTCATTTTCTTTCAAATTTTCAAAATATACCCTTTGAAAGCACTTTTAATAAATTATTTTTATAAAAACACTTTTTATGAAAGTACTTTTATGAAAGCACTTTTACGTAAAAGTGCTTTTGTAAAAATGCTTTCATAAAAGTACTTTCTTAAAAGTGCTTTCATAAAAGTACCTTTATAAAATTCAACTAGGGATAATTTTGGAAGAAAAAAATGATCAAGTGCTTATTATATAAGCACTTAAAAAAAAGCTGGAGATTAGGGGTTAAAAAATAAGCTCTTATTTTTAAAATAAGCACTTATTTCGGACTTATTTCCCAAATACCAATAAGTGCTTAATGGCCCAAATAAGCACTTATTTTTAAGCACTCCCAAACATGGCCTAACTAGAACAGATATAACAACCCGTATAGAGTTGTCACCATTCTTTTTTGCAAAAAATTGATTAATATTATTGTGTAAAGTTATGCCATTTGGTTCTTATATATTCACCGAACTATACTTGTTTTTAATCTTATTTTTCTTGGAATACTGTTACTCTTTTTATGAGTAAAGAAACTTTACTGAGGTAAAATGTACAGATAAAAAGGAGAATGTCCAAGTGTATTTCCCTGTGCTCCAAACATTCTTTCATTCTCAAACTTCTCCCTTCGTTATTGTAGGTTGTCTAATGTGTATTCTGTAATTTTATCAACAGATGCTATTAACTCCTAAAGATTTGAGTTTTGTTGGCTATACATACAAGAACTTCGACGCTCTCAAAGGCCTACATCAATCTCTAGGTATGCAAATTTAATTCCAGCTTCAAGTTATATATGTAATTATGTACATTAGGGGTGCAACTTGGGCGGGCCCAACCCGAGCCCGAACCAGCCCAGCCCGAAATTTTACACTGGCTGGGCTTGGATTTTTGGTCCTTGGGCCCAAGAAATCGGGCTTTCTTATTTTTTCGGGCCGGGCCTGGGCCTTGCCCATAGGTAGCCCAACCCCAACCTGAGCCTGGCCCAACTACACACACACACACACACATATATATATATATATATATATACATATGTTGCATACATATATACATAAATTTATGTATAATTTTAGAGTTGGTTCATTGACCAACCCAAGCCCATCCCGGACCCGAGACCAACCCAAGTTCATCAAATTACAGTGCAGGCTGGGCTCGGGTTGGGAAAATCGGGCTTGACCTTGGGCTTGGTCTGGCCTCGGGCCTTAAGCCCAAATTTTAGGGCCAGGCCCGGGTTGACCATAAACCCAGTCCAACCCGCTTGACTTGCACCCATAATGTACATATAATGTGTACAGCTTGTGATGCTTATTTGCTAAAATGTATGCTATATTGTGAAGTCTACCATCATCGTCATCATTACCTACTTTAGTCCACTAAAATGATATCATTAGCATATTCTGACCATAATCACATGTCACCACTGAGGATATGTTGATTGGTATTTCTAACTCTGGATTCAACCCAGCTAACACCTAGTACTCTGTACAAGATTCTTGTACTGCTAATGGTATATTCCCAAAATGCATGCAGAAGAAAAATATTGCGAGATTGATTTCTCTACATATAGATTGTTGGTGTCCTTCTGAAGTAGAAAAATCCTAGCAGCGTTTTGGACCTGGAATAAGGGTGCAACTTGGTTGGGCCTAACCTGACCCAACCCGACCTAACTAGAGTTTTTTGCATGTGTTGGGCCTGAATTTTTGGGCTACGGGCTGGGCCTGGCCTAAACTTGGGTTAGGCTTGGGTAGCCCATGCCTGACCCAACCCAAGTTGGGGCCTGTGTGAAATTCTGATATAATTTGATCTTTTGCTTATCTTAGCCATTGATTGTGTGGGATTGGGGTTGAGTGAGTGTGGACATTTTGTTGTGAGTCTATAAGAGAGGTCAGTCTTGTATCTCTTATTCCCATAGTGGATGTTTTCCCTCTCTTCCCATGGGTGTAGGCTATCAAGCCAAATCATGTTAAATCTTGGTGCTTTCTCTCTTTCTTCTCTCTATTTTCTTAGTTTACTGTTCTCTTTCCTGCTGGTTGACATATACAATATTCAGTAGGAGGGCTTCAGTGGTGTTGATCTTTAGGTATATGACTCTTACCTCTTTTCAAAGAAAAATCTTTAGGTATATGACTTTGCAACAGAAGGCACTAATTTCAGGAAGAATTGGACAATGCTAAATTGATTTTAAAGGAATACATTATAGAGGGATAAGAGCCCAATAATGAAGTCCTGAAGAAAGAAGCACAAGAGGAAACTCCACTTGGAACAACCGACTAAATCCTACAACCATACCTAGTCAGGTCAAGAAAAAAACATCATACTAGTTGTTTATAGAAGCCAAAATCTCATCAAACTCGTGGTCCCCCATTCCTCTTCTCAGACCTTAGTCCCAAGACAACCCAAGCAGAGAAGCAGAAACACTATCAGACACAGAATAGTTGTTAATGGAAGACAATCAGTTATTTAGAACCCCTCTTTGCTAGACTTAATTGTCTTTATACTTCTTTTGAGCTTTGAATTTGTCACACAGATCAAAAGGGACATAATTAAGAATCAAAGAAAGAATACAACAGAATCAATCAAGAATAAAAACAAGAAAGAAAGAAAAAAAAAAAAAACAGTCTACACAATAGCCTCCTCCCCTTTCTAACACTAACCACCACCTAAAGACGGTAACGCAGAACAGCCATTCTACAAAGGTCTTTTTTTTGTTCAGCAACACAGAAATGATTTCATTAATAATAGAAAGCAAAACTACAACAAGAGGTTGTGGAAAAAAGAAAAACACAGCTTCAGAAAAGCTGACCCAACCAGGAATTACAATTGAGCCCAATACAAACAAGTTCTTTGCACCCATTGCTTGGCTAAACCATCTGCCAGAATGTTGGCAGTTCTCCTAACCCATTTAACTATGATTGTCATGTCTTTTGATAACCATTTAAATCGCCTGAAATCATTCCTTAGATACCATGTCACCCCCTCCCCCTTCTTCAGCTAGTTCACAACAGTTTTTGAATCACCCTCAATGATCAGTCTATCAATATCCAAATCTTTAGCCTTTTCAACCCCATATACTGCAGCCAGTAGCTCTGGTCAAACCACACCACCTTGTTCAGCAGGTCCCAAGTACAAGGCTGTGATATTTCCTTCCTCATCCCTAATGAGACCCCCACCCCCCATGCTTGAGCCTGAGGGGCCCAGATTGCCCACACAACTCCCATCAAAATTCACTTCCAACCACAGATTCGGGGTATCCACTCAACAGTTTTTTGTCTTCTGGATGATGATGCAGCAATTACATCTCAGGCCCTGAAAAAATCCTCAACCTCAAAGTCTGAAAAAAGTTTCTGACTTTTTGCCCAATGTGCCACTCTTAGCGTTATGACTTTTACCAAGGCTTCCTTCTTTCTTTTTCTTCAAAGATTCTTGAGTTGTTTTCCTCTCAAACTGTCCAAAGCACCGCTGCTCTAGTACATCTCCCCAAATTCCTGCCCCTCCTTTTGGTATAGCTAAAAATAGTAGGGCTAAACAATCCTTCCAAACTATCAGGAGAAGATCATCTGCAACTAAAGAGAGAAGAAAACCAATTCAAATAAAGCTGACAAAAGGACAACTGGACAAGAGATTAAGAGATGAAAGACGGTCTCACCATTTAACTTACAAAGGAAGCACCAGCTGGGGGACAAACACCAGTTTGGTCTTTTTCTTTGAAGCAAATCAAAGGTATTAATACAGCCATGAAACATGTCCCAACAGAAAGCACTAATTTTTGGGGGGATGGAAAACCACCAAACTCCAAACTTCCTTGACTGGGAAAGGAGAAGGGGAGGTAGAGGTGGCCACTAAGGAATTAAAGAAAGACTTACCTGAGAACAAACCATCAGGATTAAGGCCCCAAACCCTAGAATTCAAACCACCTTCTCTAGGACCATTGAATTCAACAAACCTAACAACTTAGACACTCTAGGAATTCCAGATTTTCTAAGGTTCCCATTGAAGCCTAAGTTCCAATTCAGCCTTGAAGGATGAGAATGCTAGCCAAAGAAAGCAGATACAGGTCTACTCTTAAGGCTAGAAAGAGCGAAACGTGAAGGAGAGCTCTCACCTAGAGGGATATCCCCAATCCACACATCCTCCCAAAACCTAATTTTCTGACCCGAAGCCAAGTCATACCTAGGAATGGCAACAAGGCGGGATCATATTCCCCGTCCCCGACCTCGATTTTGGAATAAAAGCCTCGGCTCCGATTCCTGTTGAGGATAAAAATTGTCCTCCATCCTCGATGGGGACAAATTCTTGCAAGGACCCAAATTTGTGAAATTTTTTAGTTAATAGTGTTTTTGAAAATAAATTTACTTAAAAGAAATAAAAATTTTAAAATATAAATAATATTTTTAATATATTTAATATGAATAATTTTTAATATATATAGTCGGGGATGGGGCGGTATGGGGACCTAATTCCCCATCCCCGACCCCAACCCCAACCCCGGTTGGGGATCCCTATTAATCCTTGTCCCCTCCCTGCCAAAACAATCCCCATGGGGTCAGGGAAATCGAGTACCTGGCGTGATTAAGGAAAGTAGGAAGAATCTCGTGGATGGCCTTCCAAGTAGCGGCTAGAGTAGCTCTACGAAGACAACCAGCATCCCATCCATTGCTTGACATTCCATGAATACTTGCAACAGCTTTGTGACATAACCTCTCATTCTCTTTGGGGAACCTCCAAATCCATTCAAACTTGGCATTACCATTCCCAAACCCCCTTTTGCCTTTAATTTCACCACCTTCTCCCATCTTACCAGATGATCTTTCTTCCCCCTAACTCCCAAAGAAAATCTCTAATGATTTTTTCAATTTTCCTCACTACCTCTTGGGGCATCCTAAACACTGACTGGAAAGTTGGCAAGGGTGGACTTGATAAGAGTTGATATCCCCCCTCCCCAGCAAAATATAGTTCATTTTCCACTCAGCTAATCTCTTAACTAAGGTCTAAAAAAATCTTTCTTTTTGTGCCTTTTTTGACAATTGTTAAGGTACCTTCACTAAAATCCATGTACCCTTTAGAAAGACTAGAATACTCTTCATTTTAGGTCAAGTTAAGGATTCATCTTAGTGATTTAGCAGCATGATGCCTAAAGGCTACATCTTAGTGAATGGGACAGTGGTAAATTTCTTCCCAGCCATTAGGGGTATAAGATAGGGAGACCCCTTATCTCCTTTTTGTTTTTACCGGTTACTAATGTTTTGGGGAAGCTAATCCACAAGGCAGACTCTAGGGGTCTCATTAGAGGTTGGAGGGTTGGAAGGGAGGACATCCCACTTACTCACTTATAGTTTGTCGATGATACGATCCTGTTTTGTGAAGGAGGTAATGTGAGCTTCATTAAGAACCTGAAATTGGTGATTCATCTATTTGAGCAAATGTCAAATTTGAAGGTGAACTTTGGGAAGAGTTGTGTAGTGGGGGTGAATCTGGAGGAGAGAGAGATAAGGGAGAGTGCAGAAGTACTGGGGTGTGAAGTATCAAGGTGGCCTTTGAACTATCTAGGGTTGCCCCTAGGTGATAATCCTAAGAGAGAGAGCTTTTGGAACCCGGTGGTGGAAAGATTTGAAAAAAGACTTGTCTCTTGGAAAAAGAATTCTCTCTCTCTGGGTGGTTGGATTACACTGATCAAGGCCACGTTAGCAAACTTACCCATTTATTTTCTTTCAGTGTTTAAGATTCCAGGGAAGGTTTGTAGAAGGTTGGAGAGGTTGATGAGAGATTTCCTTTGGGAACCGGGAGAGGAGAAGAGGAACCACAGGGTTAGCTGGAAGGTGGTGACAGAAGTAAAAATTATGGGGGTTTGGGGCTTGGGAACATTGGGATGAGGAATTTGGCCCTTCTGGGGAAATGGTTGTGGAAGTTCCCTCTGGAGCAGGAAAAGCTATGGGCTAGAATAGTGGCAAGCATACATGGGCTGAAGCAAAATGGATGGGATGCTGGAATCAAAGCTAGGACCACAAGCACTTCACCTTGGAAATCCATTAATGATTTGCTTCCAGTCTTCTCCCCTCATGTTAGGTATGATTTGAATTTAGGTAATTCCATAAAATTCTGGGAACAAATTTGGGTGGGGAATGTTCCTCATAAGGAACAGTTTCCTTTGTATGCTCTTTCTGAATTTAAAAATGAGATAGTTTCTTCTTTCATCACCCCTTCCTCTTCCAATTCGGGGTTTGGGTGGAACCTAGGTCTGAGGAGGGCTGTGAGGGACTCAGACCTTGATAGTATTTCGAGCCTCTTTGAACTTCTTGATAATGTTTTCTTGGACCCTTCTAAGATGGACTCTAGAATTTGGACCCCTACCCCCATGGGCTCTTTTTCTTGTGCTTCCTTCAAAGTCCTTTGTCAGTCCACCAGTCTTGCAACCTCCCCTTTCCCGGTTAGTGAGGTTTGTGTGGACCGATTCCTCCTAGGGTTGGTAGTTTTTGTTGGGAAGCCTATTTGGAAAGATTCAACACTGGGGATTTGCTCCAAAAGAAGAGACCCAATACTTGTTTGTCACCTCATTGATGTGTTCTTTGCAAAGCGGATGGGGAGACTGGTTTTCACTTACTGGTGTCTTGCCAATTTGCAAAGTCAATTTGGGAGTGGGCTTTTTCTCTCTTTGAGTGTAGGTGGAACCCTCCATCAGACTTGAAGAGCCTATTTTCTCCTTCCTTTTTCAGGTGGCACATGAAAAGGGGAATGACTATGTGGAGAGGTCTGAGGGCTGCAATATGCTGGACATTATGGGAAGAAAGAAATACTAGGATCTTCTCAGAAAATGAGAGAGGGGTGGAAGAATTGAGGCTGTGATCCACATAAGGGCAGTACAGTGGCTGAAACCACTAGAGCTATTTACAGGCTACACAGTGGAAGACATGTTAAGATTTGAGAAAGTGGGGTGAAATTGCAAACTGCACTTAGATCAAACCAATAATAAGGATGTCTTGGACTCCCCCACCTGCTGGCTTCTTAAAGTTAAATTTTGATGGGAGTCGTAGGGGGAATCCGGGACAATCAGGGATTGGAGGTATTTTTAGGGATGAGAACGGGGTCATTTCTGCCCTATTCTCAGGCCCAATTGGTGTGGGGGATTCCCTTAGAGCTGAGATGTTGGCAGTTATGGAAGGAGTTCAGAAAGCCAAGGAGATGAATGTCAGGAAACTCATAATTGAAGTAGGACTCGGAGGTGGTGATAGGGTGGCTGATTAAAGACAACTACGGTTTATGGAACTACAGAAATGAGAAGAGGAAATTCAGGTGGCTGGTGCAGGATGAGTTGGGTTAAGAGATCAGCTAATTCTTTAGCTGATGGATTAGCTAAACAAGGGATAGAAAGGGAAGCAATGTTTTGGGCTAAGCTGTAACTTAATTGTTTCTTTTGTTTCTTTTTCTCTTTTTCTTTCTTTGGAGGGTTTAAGTTGTAGCCGGAAGATAAGAGTTTTTGTCTTCCTTGCTGTAAATAGTTTGATATTTCAATGAATTTAATGAATCTGTTATTGATCAAAAAATAAATAAAAATTACTTGGTCAGTTACTTGCCATACAGAAGTTTTAGGACCTTCTGTCTGGAACCTTGTTCTGTTATCCATGGATTTCATGACTTAAACATGGAGGCACATAAAGTACATTGAGATAAATTGGAAGGTTTGGATACACAATCTTGTCTATGTCCAATAGATACATATGCTTGTTAACCAATATAAATAAATAAGTATACCAAAATATGCACCTAATATCAAAGATAGGGTAGGACAAAAACTTTTGAAACATATGAATTTTCTGCAGATGATAAGAAACATTATTTGTCTGAGTATTTAAACAAACCTTAAGTTTTCTAAATTGGTATAGCACAGTCTTGGTTTAATTGTATTCATGATTTTTTGTATTCAAGTATGGTCTTCTCTGATAATTTTGTTTTAACTCTTGCAGATATGAGGAGATTTAGACCACCAAAACCGGGATCTAATGATTCTAGCATCAGTAATGAACTAACTTAATATAAATGCTCAACAATGCTTCCTTTGAATCATATTTTTCTCGATTTGAAATTTTGATAGTTGATATTAAAATCTTTCAGGTGATTCCGTAGTTGACTACTCTTCAAAGCTGACATCAGACGAAACAGAAAAAGAGATGCTTACTCCATCAAGTGATGCCATGTCACCATAAAGCAGTACTGAGAATTTACCTTGTAAAGTTTTTGTTGTAACAGATGAAGCCCGCTCGATGGATGGATGGTGGAGATGCCTGCTTATTTCAGTCAGGTTTTGCCTAAATGTGCGCACACACCGACTACCACTCATTTTGCAGAACTGCCATCCAAGTGTACAGTAGTATTTAAGGAACCTTATTAAAATCTGTGGATTGGTTGAGTAATTATGGTAGTCTCAGCAGTAATGGTGGTTACATAACAAATGATTTTGCATTTGAATGGCGAGATGTGATATTTATCTCCTGGCTGCCCAGGTTGGCAGACAAAAACATGCCTTCTCTTGTGGCAGTTTCTGGTTTGTATTTTGTTTTTTCCTTTAAACTTTTCTGACAGCTTAGGAAGTTGAAGCAATAGATTGGTGTTTAATGATACAAATAATTGATACTTACTGTGTGTTAATTAAAAGCCAGAGCTTGGGTGGGAAAGTGTTATTTCTCAAAATCGAGACGATCTATAGTTCATCTTTTCACTTTTTTGTGATATTTAGCCGTTTTCAGGATTGTAATTGACTGCAACGTTGGCTCTTCGCTTTTGTTTTTTTTTTTTTTTCTTTCCTATTTTCATTATATATTTTTTGTTAGTTTTACACATTCACCTTTGATAGATAGTCGATGAAAATTTTTTATAGCGTCCCAAATAATGTCAAACGCCTTTTGTATTCTGTGCTGTGACAGTTAAAAGTGAACAGATACCTTTCTTAAGATGTATCTTGTACATCTAATATGGTTGAACCTCGGTTCGCACTACACAAGTTTTATTTCTCTCCCTACTTTGTGTAGCTGATGCATATGCTACGCAGTACGCACTATGTACATTCTATTTAAAGCTTATTTGTCTAGTATTTGAACTTCAACTCCTAAAGTTGTGTATAAAAATTATCTCGACTTCTGAAAGGGCTCATCGGCCACTTGCATGTAGGTAAAGGCCCTTCCCACTAGGCCACATTACAGTAGTACACATTAAGAACTTAAGATGTATAGATGTAAGATTGTAAATGTCAACTTTCAAATTGTGGCGTCTTAAGCCACCTTTTATGAATTCTCTCATTACTCATTAGTATCATATTGACCAGAACATTCAATAGAAAATAATTAATCAATCATTAAAATAGGCATTTTAAAATGTCATATTTACCCTTGACCAACTTCATAGTTGTACACTTGTACATATACGAAAGAGAAACCCTGAATTTCTCTATTGCCAACTTTGAGTGAGCAACATGAATTATGGGTTTATACAAATATGTAAGAGAAAGGACAAAATGATCCCACAAATTAAAATGGTAATTTGAGGAATAACATAGGGGCAAAGTGTTGGAATCTAAAAGTTTAGGGGTCTTTGTCACAATTGAAAGTTTGGGGATCCAAATGTCACTAACCCCCAAACTCCCAAAGTACAAGGTGGTAATCTCCATTTTATAGTTCTTTTTTTCTTCTACCACAGTTCCATCCAGTCTATACAAAATATGCTCTTGAACCCAGGTTGATAGCTAGTGTGACTGAGCCCAGGTTGCCCACATTCAAAATATGCTCTTGAACTACTAGACTAACTTACCATGACATACTAATAATTGAAGTAAAATAACATTTACTTAATTGTCTCCACACAATCCAAATAAATAATAATTTTTAATTATGCTAAACTAAAAATTAAAAAGAAATCTTCAAAATAATACTTTAAAAACATTAATGAAATGAATAATCTATTAGATCCACATTTACATCAAAAATAATTTTTAATCTAAATAAATTATAGAAATTAAAATGCTAATAAGAATAATAATTATTTTAGTAATTAAAACTTATAGTTTTAATCAAGGTTCAAAGCAAGGTTCAAACTATCGATACACTGATAGGGGCGTATCGGGCGAATTGATACACACTTTGGAGATGGTTTTTTTTTATTTTTTTTGCAACCGGTTCAAGGGGGCTGGTTTAGGTCTTCTCTACCCCTGAACCGGTCAGACCTCCGATACGCCCATCCCAGAATTATAAGTATCAGTCGATACATGTCGATACTTTAAACCTACCCTTCTTTTTTAAGTTCTTTTTTTTTGTTCAAAGGAGCCGATTTAAGTCCCTGCTACCCTCTAAACCAGGCCCTGAACCGATACAACCCCTGTAGAGGCGTATCGGGAAGGGCCCGATACGTAATGATTTTTTGAACCTTGGTTTTAATATGATATATACCTTAAAAATCTTAATAGATTTGATATATTTTTAAATTAAGATTGTATATTTTATAAATGGTTAAATAATATTTTATATTACATTAAATAACATTTATAATTTACAAAGAAATAAAAATAATGTTTACAAAATATTTAAGAATTTAATGTAAATAAAATTATATGAAACAAATATTAATTATAATATATTTCTTCATTATTTCTTATAGGGCAAATTTCTTAAAGTACCCCTACTATTTAGCTAATTGACAAATTGTACCCTTACTATTTAACTATTGCCTTAAACCACCCCTACTTTTTATGACAATTGACTAGCTCTACCTAGGGGTGGATCCGAGCCGAGCCAAGCCGAATACTACCAGGCTCGAGACTGTTCTACAAGGCTCGAGCTCGAGTTAGAACCTTGAGCTCGAAATTGGCTCGAGTCAAAAATTCATAAGCTTGAGCTCGGCTCAAGCTCGAACTCAGTTGAAACCGAACCGAGCCGAGCTCGAGCAGTTCGTGAAAAGCTTGGCTCATTGCCACTCCTAACTCTACCCCTGCCGTTAGTGTCCATTAATATTCTGTCAAAATCCATACACATATGACATCACGTGACGTTTAAAGTTTATTTAAACCCAATATTACCTCCATCCCCTTCCTCTCAATGCACCATATCTCTGTCTCTCTCTCTCTCTCTGAGAAGGTCTCTGTTCCTGCTTACAGAGAGAGAAAGTGAGGGAGGTCTATGGATGATGTTGACATTACGGCACAATTCCGCAGCTCTGGGTTTTTTTTTCTCTCAATGCACCATATCTGTCTCTCTCTCAGAAGGTCTCTGTTCCTGCTTACAGAGAGAGAAAGTGAGGGGGTCTATGGATGATGTTGACATTACGGCACAATTCCGCAGCTCTGGGTTTTTTTTCTTCCATGAACTCAAATGATGAAAGAAGCCAGAGTTATTATTTGATTTTGTAGGAAAGGCTTCTGCAGCTCCGGGTTCAACGGAGTATTTAACCCACCAGAGTCAACTCAAACAAAGGCAAGCATGACCATTACAACCGTCAACCACGAACTCAGAGTTGTGGAGCATTGAGAAAATGAGAAGAAAGTCTAAATGTCTAATAAGTCTTATTGAGCTTGGCATCAACGGAAATGGCCTTTAAACAAGGAATTCTCCTCAGTTACTTTCATGTTTGTTGCAGAATTGAAGAATGTAAAAATGTGCCAGAGAAGGAGATAAGGTTTACTGCAGAACATGATAAATATCAATTTCAGCAACTATTCCACATGGCACAATCAAATGGGTTCCAGTTCCAGGAGATGACACCATAGTGATACGGTTTTAAAAAACAAAGGTTGAGACATGGCGCCGAGGAGTAACTGGTTTTCTTCCTCCATCTCTCCGTTGCGGGCAAAAATAAAAAAGATAAGGCTGCGTTAGGATAGATCGGCCGGTGGAGACATGGAGCTCAAAGAGGATTGCCAGTGATGCTACAACCGCAACAGCAATAGGATTGAAGGAGATTCAGAAGACAATTTAAGGGCAAAAGGAACATTTCGTCCATTCTATAATGATTTAATGGTGATGGCAGTTGTTTAAGACAATTAAACAATAAGAGTACATTTTGTCATTTAACTAAACAGTAGGGATAGTTTAAAAATTTGCCCTTTCTTATATACAAATTAATATTTTTCAAACCGTATACATAACTGAGATGCAATCATGCAACACCCAATGCCAATACTTCGCTCCATGTCAAAAATACAGAGAAACTTTATTCATCTCAATTGACTTGCTTCATCTCTCACTCTGAAAGGCAAGAGTGGTCATTCTAGATTCATCTACCACATTCCCCTTGTGAACATCCAGGTCATCTATTAACAAAGTGCCCTTTTAACCCTCACCCGGTCACCCCCACATGACGCCGCACACACAAAACACGCACAACAAGCACGAATAAATGAGGAAGAACCGAAGAAAATGAACATAAATCAGAATAATTATGACAAATAAATAACAATCAAGAAGGATACCTCGTTAAAAAAAGAAAAGGCTCCCAAAAGACCCTTCAACAAAGCTAAACCAACAAATATCCAAAACCCTGATATTACAAATGGAGACCCAGAAATCAAACACCCTTGTCACCTGCAAACCAAATATATAAAAAAAAAATGAATGGACCGTATGAGCAAATATCATTGACCACCCATTAATTTAAAGTCTGATCTCACCACCTTGACAACACATCCAAGATCCAACCACAGAGCCCTTATATCATAAAATTCAACGATATATAATATTTGCATGACTCTGTGCAACACTTGACAACAACCATCTCTATAGGAACACACCCATAAGAAAAGAAAGACGCTTTTTTCTCTATTTATCAGCATCTGGTTTTTCCGCCTCTTTTTTCTCTTCTTTTTCCTCCGACTTCTTTGCATCCCTTTCTTCCTCTGCTGAAATGGGCACCTCTTGCTGGGTTTTCTCCTCATCTTTGCTTTCCTCTACACTCAACCTCTCTAGAAGATTTGCAGTAGAAGTGGCCTCTTGGCTTTCCCCAGCAGTGTTCCGTTGAGATTCAGCGACCTCTTCAACCATTTCCTTGAATTTTTTGCAGTCTGAAAAAAATGTAGAGAAATAACCAAACATAATGACAATTAAACACATAAAATTCATGTAATTTATCTTTTCCTTTGTGCGAGGACTGAAGAATATTCATGGTGACCACTAACTGCACTGACCATTGTTGCTTTAATAACCTAAATGAATCGAAGTTGGTGTTAAACCAAACAAGAAATAGCTCATACTAACTGAACAATTACCTCTGACGAGCTTTATGAAATAACCACGCCCTAAAATTGTTTTAATAGATGTTATATATCAAACCAGCATGGTATGAGCAGGTTATTGGTTTGAGGATATTGCAACTCAAGCGTGCAAACCCCCCCCCCCCGGAATAGGATGATGTTCTGAACATCACAAGCATATAATAAATCATAGAGAAAGTTGAATGGAACTGAATTGTAAATGCTAAAAAATTCGTAATATCATTCTTGTTTTTTAGAAAATTATCAAACCTAGAAATATATAGTAAAAGCTAAAAATATAGCAAAATGTCTTGCCATATTTTCAATCCATCCCCATAAAAGTGATATGAAGTTTTATCACTTAGGTTACAAGTTCAAGAGCTAAAATATATAATAAAAGCTAAAATATAGCAAAATGTCTTGCCATATTTTCAATCCGTCCCCATAAAAGTGATATGAAGTTTTATCACTTAGGTTACAAGTTCCAGAGGACAATCAACTTTATCTTCAAAGTTGATCAACTTGCAAATAATGGCTCCTTAACATACAACATACATAGTTACATGCAATGGAAAGCAAATTGAAAAAGGTCTTTAAATAACCCAAAGAAGTCTTCTTCTGTATGGATTTTGAAAGAAAATACCCTTTAAAAATTAAAATAGAAAAAAAAAAGATGAAGTAAATACCCAAGTTGGTCAAAATAATTTTGGATCACATGAATCAGATAAAAGACCAACTGAAAACCAAACCAACTTAAAGACAAAGTGTATTCTCAATACACAGATGAATGTTTATAGCAAACATACATATACATGAAAACATGCATGCATGTATGCATATATACATGTTTGTGTGCACACCTGTATCTATGGCTCTGACATGTTTAGGGCCATCTTTTAATCAGTATGTTTGAAACCAATTTTTTAAGAATGTTTATGCACTTAGAGTTTTTCTTAATGGTTATCAAAGGGTTTGGAGGAAAACAATGATATCAAATCTACTAAAATTCTCCTGGTTCTTTTTTATGTGATCATATTCATGTATACACCTTCTTTACATGAAATTATATTTTTCTTTGTTCATAGTTTATAAAGATAACTCATGAGACCCGTACCCCATGCATCTAAAGGTCCTCTCTCCTTGTCTAATACCTCCAAATTTGTCATTATTTTGTCTTGTCAGGCGAGGTGTAAAGAGCCCCTAAAAACACATCTCACCAAAAGGGGGGACATTACCCAATAATGGTCCTGACTATCTGCAGTCCTGGGAGGGTTATATTGGATACAGACCAAAATCTTTGTTTCTTTCTTTCATAAAATGGAATGGCGCCCTAGATTGCTGGGGTCCTGATCCTGCATTTTTTTACTATAAGTCTTGCCATTAACTCCTTTGTATCCTCTACAACTCCTTGGACAGTTGGATATAAGAAAGCACAACTGATGCATATGCTACAACAATTCACGGTAGAAGTGTCAAGTTTGATGACTGCTGACTGTTTCTAAGAACATAGAGCATCATTAGCCTAAAATGGTAACACTTTCCTATGAAAGGATGTATCTTGTTTATGGATAAAGAAAAAAATGTATTATTGTAGAGATATCAAACAGACTTGTTGACGCATCTTATCATAACTAGCGGATATAAAATCTACAAAAGAGAGGTAATATTTACATTGCAATCTTACCAGCTATACTTTCTTTTATTTTTTATATTTTATAATTTATATGCTTGACTGAGGTGGGGGCCCATATAGATAACTAAGATAAACTATGACAATGCATTATATGAATCTTTATTTGCAATGATCTGATCTGTGCATTAGAAAAGGCATGCAACTGCATTGTATGTTTCTGATGCTTAGGCATATACATACAAAAATGTGCCTATGTATAATAACCATAAAAGAATCAATGCCCAAGCAACTAGAATCCAATAAAACATCAACAATTTCATCGACAGATGACCAAGAAATAATGATAGCAACATGTCAAGAAAAAAAAGGGAAATGGAGCAAAACGGGTAGCAGCAAGACAATAATTGACATCAATCTCCGATACTCACTCTCTATCGATGCAAACCGAATGCAAAAGAGTTCATCCTTCACCTCCCCTTCAGAGAAATCTTTTGCATGCCAGAGGCAAGATTTATCATTCCCCGCGTGTTCCTGAATTGATATGGAAGGAAGGACTGCATAACACCAAGCAGTAAAAAACAATTAGGAACCAGTAGAGACCTCTCCCTGATGCAAAATTAATATGATCAATTAAAGATGAGTATTTAAAAACATACAAGAGCATGAACAAACCTAAATGGTTGGCGCAGATCTTAAGCGTCTTGCTCTGACGCATAACTAATCTAACCTTCCCGGTCCCCCTGTGGTTGAGAAGTTTCACAGTCCCAGTACCTCTCTCCTTCCACTGGCTTCCTTCTTTGTCATATCGATACAGCTTCGATTTTCTATTCTCGATCAAAGAAAAAATCCGATCAGTTCAAAGCCGAAATTAGAAGTTCACACCAGAAAAAAAAATAGAAAATATCGCAGAATAATAAATAGTTGATAATTTGAACAAGAAGCCCTAAGAAAGAAATACTAAAGATGCGGGTAATCAAGTAGATACAGATCGAGAAGAACATCTTCTTCTTCCTCTCCACTAGTAACGGCAACCTCCTCGAGCTTGACTATAGGGGCGACCTGGGCTCCGGTGTCTTCTTCCTCGCCCGCCGCCGTTTCTGCGGCTTCTTCCTCCTCCTCCCTGCGCTCCGGATCAGTACTCGCCATTACGATAACAACAATCACTCGCAACTCAGAGAAATCACAACAAAGCTCAAGCTTTAGCTTCCGGCGTGCAAGGAAACGCAGAGAAACGTATCTCCAGACTTCCAGTGAAAATGGGAAGAGATCATATAAAGTTTCTTGTTAGTAGGGTTTTTTATTAGTTAAATGCTTTCGTGAGGTCACTCCCACATGAGGGGACCTTCTTTAACGTCGGATTAGAATCTACATGATATACCAATCCGCATATTAAAAATTCCCTTTTGCGATCGTTAATACTTGGGCTTACTGCGGTCGTTTGTCAATAATAGGTAGGGTTGGATTCGAGCCGAATAGTATAAAGGCTCGATCTCGGTTCGATACTATTATATAACGTTCAAGTTCGGTTCGACTCAGAATCTTGAGCTCGAGTTCAATTTAAAAAAAATAATAATTTATAAAAATAAAAAATTATATATATAAATATTTTTTATTTGATATTTAAAAAATTAAGAATTATAATATTTTTATTATATATATTTTTTTTATAATTTTTTAATATATACATATATATATATATATATTCGAACCGGCTCGTGAGCCAAGTTCTATTAGGCTCGAGCTCAGTTCGTTTCTTAATCGAGCTTGTGAATTGGATTCGAGTTCGGTTGAAACCGGACCGAGCTCGAATAGCTTGTGAAGAGCTTGGCTCGTTGCCACCCCTAATAATATGAAATCATTGTGCTTATGTATTGTTTCTAGTGCGAAAGTTTCTTATTTCGACAGGGTAGAAATGCATCATGAACCACACATCTAGATAAATATTGTGCCAGCACATACCATGGACTTGGGTTTTGGAGGTCAAGGGTTCACCAGCAGGATGGAGAAGTGACCAGATCTTCTCCTCACACTGACCTTACATGCACATCCTATAGTGCATTGGGAACATCTTTCTTTGTGTTATTATTTACAAGAGATATTCTCAATGCACGGTGGGATGTGCCTATAAGGTTGTTGTGAGGAGCAAATCCCAATTTGATGGAAAAAGGGTATGCTAGTCCGTTAGATGTCTAGGTAGGCAGGCTGGATCTCCTACAAACAACAACTCTGCTCATATACCTAATGTGTGTAAAATATAATTATATTTTTTTATAAAAAAAATTGGGGGTGTAATACAAAAACTTCATAGGAGATCACCCATCCTAATATTACTCTTGCTTAAGAATACTTAACTTTAAAGTTCTGAAAATCCAATACATTAATGCTAGTATGATCACACCGCTGTAAAGTATCACTCCCTAGAGTTGAATAATAAGCGGATATACTTTGAGAGTGTGCATAATTTTTATTTGCAAGGAATACTATCGCCTATGCCGGTCTTTGAATATGCTAAAAGCTGCATCTTGAGCTGATGCTGATGATTGATCCAGCCTAAGTATGTAGGGATGGGATGGGCCGCGAGACGGGCCACACATAATCTATGATGCGGGAAAGATAAAGTATCCGGAGAAGAGTTTTGATTAATACTTGATTGTCTACCACTACCATAGTTATGATACTAGTTAGATTGATCAAAAATTTGTTCAGATATATTTTTTTATAAATATATTCATTTAGCAGGTTTTATATATTAAAAATAAAGAATGAAAACTTTATTATATAAAGCATGTTCAATATCTGCTCCCAAAACACCGGTATGTGAATAAGGCTACGTAACCAATAAAGAGTGGACACGTCCATGTCCCGTACACATAGGACCCACATGTGGTGTGATTTGGTTTCATGGTTGGTAATTATTAGTTTGCACACTTGTGTTCATGGTAGATTCTTCCCCATGTGATTTGGTTTCATGCCTGACCATGATGTAAAAAAACATCTAATCCATTTATCTCTTCTTTTTTTTTTGACATTAAAAGATATAACATAATTACTAATGCACGGCTTACTTGTAGGCATTATCAATTTTATATGTTTCTTTAGACAAATGGGTTATGTGTCAAAGGGTTGTCGTTTCCCAACCCTGAAAGCCTAATATAACAATCTAAGTGGCCTAAATTGGGAGGGATTGGGTTGAGATTTTGTTAAATTCTCAATGAATTTATTTATCAAAAAAAAATTTCAATGGACTTAAAGTCTTAAACCTTAACCCGAGTCTAATGTGTCTCCAAAACAAATTCATGATTAAGGTGGGATTCAATTTCAAGTCTTGTTGCATTCAATTAGAGATTCTATCAGAAAATTAGTAGCACCTTCAATTTTATAGGGAGAATGATACTTCAGCCCAGAGTCAGAATTTGTAGGTTTCAAGTACATTTGGGGTAGGTGCCAGGTCAAATTAATACTAATTCATGGACGGGTATGGATGCATAAAATGTGAATTTTGGACCTTTTGAATGTTTATAACTCTGCAGTAGAAATCAAAAATCTGCATTGGACCTATCTGTACTTCTCCAAATTTTATGTGCCATTTATGGATGGAAAAAAAAAAGTTTCTACATGGCTTATCATAATTCTACTACATGTAAACATTATATGATCAATCTCTAATAGAAGTCTATTGGCAACTTGTTCAATCCTCCAATCCACATCAACCATGTGATGAGACTCATCCCGGAGTAGTGAGTTTCGCAAACAATGTCAGCCGTTGAAAGTTCAATATTCTAATGCCGAATTTGTCCAAAAAAGAATATGCAAACCAGTTGGAAAGGAATAACATTTGGGCCCATACACATGGACTGCTTTCAGCCTTCTTCAAGTGAAAGGAAAAGGGGCCGAGTACACTCCCAAAATCCCCCTATTTCACTGTCATATTTTCCTCTATTTTAATTYAATAAAAACATTTTGTACTTGGAGCTATCATGTATAACCCTAAGCTCTTATACCACTTGCCATGCATAAGCATCAAAATACAAGCTTATATCAATAGAAATGATAGAAGAAATATAATAGAAAAAATAACATCATAATAATATGGTTACCAATCAATGATGGCTCAATTGGTTAGTTTTGTGGCTAGTGGTAATAGAGACTTGGGATCAAATTGCTATGTCACCAGTATTAGGGGATTATGGGCTTGGCCGCTTGGGACTTGGAAGACAGGTTAACTGATTTTTATCCACCATAACAAATATGACCAAAATAGTCCAATAATAATGTCAATGAATCACTTTGTCGAACATGATTACATTGATGAAAAATCTATGCTAGCAAGAAAGGCATACTTGAAGAACTTTAACAAATCACTCCCTCCTCATGAATATTGATAAATACCATGTGATTGTTTRCCACTTTTGTGACAGGTTGATTGGTTACAAGTTTTTTTGGTATCGTAATTGAKCTTACATGAGATATGACCAAAAAGAAGATCAAGAATTTTGACATTTCCTTATTTCATGAAAAAAAATGTTTGCTCCTCGAATGAGTGGTACAAGAGTGAAGCTAGGGGATACAGGGGAGCCATGCCCCCACCCCCCTATGGTCCAGAAATCCCCCACTATTAATACAGTTTTCCATGTAAATTACCTCCTCCCCCCACTCTCCAACCCAATGGTTTGCCCCCTTTATGGACCCAGTTATATTCGTTCATTCCTTCATACCTAATCTACTTTAGGTTTTGGCTAGGGGTGTCAACGGTATTTGAAAACCCGATTTCGAATTCAATATTCGACATAATCGAGTCGAATTTGGATAATTTTAATATTTAATCGGGCGCATTTGTATATCCTATTATTACCGAATAGTTAATCAGATTAAAATTTGGATATGACCTGATTCAATTCGATAAATATCCGATTTTGAYCAATTATTTAATTCTTATATATAATATATCAAATATTTTATATAATTTATATATAATAATTAATTATATAAATAATTTATATATTTATATACTTTATATCAATTAAATAATCAATTTGAATATTTGAATATTTAATCAGATTCAAATTTGAATATTAATTTTCAATATCCATTAGATATCGAATTGAATTCAGATATCGGATTCGGAATCGGATATTGCCTTATCCGATTTGAATTCAATTTGTTTACACCCCTAGCTTTGGCCCCCGTCATAAAAAATTTCCTGGCTCCACTCCTAGAGTGGTGCAAGTGTCTTTTTTGATAACTACAGTGATAGACACGCAACGAGTATTGTATTATGATTTTAATTTTTATTCATTTTTCAAGGATGACATTTTACTAATGTGATCATATAAGGAATACTTATAAAGAAGTTTGTCGTTCAAGATGAACACTTCAATGTCTCTCTATTTAAAATCGCACACTATCATCTAAAAAAGAATATGAAAACTTGGTAAATGGCAATATTTTCCCAATTCAGCCTTGACTAGTTGAGAGAATGATGTGGTGGGCCAATAATTCCACTAGTGTGAACTTGTATTGCACCGTCATTTGCAAACTTGGATAAAGGTGGAACGAGAGGGTTTCATCAAGTTGCAACTAGTACTAAAACCTTTGCCAAAATGTGTGGCCTTGGATCTTGATTTGTATAGCAAAACAATATTCACGTGGCCAACCTCATATAGATGGGGAAATTTTAGATGATTGATGATGATGTGGTAAGCCAATATTTCTATGATAAATGTTATAAAATATAGGTTAAATGTTAATTATTCTATTACCATGTAAAGTGGGTAATTGTCTTGGTTTTGGTGTAAATCATTCAAATTAAATATGATAATATAATGTTAAGTTACATCTTTACTCGTCCACTTGCATAAGACATACCCTTAACATTAGTACTCTATAATCCCAATACTTACATTGCACCCCATATAGTATGTGCTCTTACATTAATAAATAAAACAACCATCTAGATAAATACATAACAATTGCTACCAGTATATTATAATTTAGTAGTTATTTCTATAAACATGCATCAATGATAATTTACCCATGATGGCAAGGTATTGAATAGCAATTAAACCCAAATACGTCAAATAGGTGTATACATGAAAATATTTTAAATATATTTAATGTCATCCTTATCTATTTTAATTACTTGTTTTAAGTTAATTTTACAATGCAATGTATGTTTTGTTTGCCACATAAACAAATAAACGATTGGCAATCTACTGGTACATCCCACTATGAGAGAGAGAGAGATATTGGATTATTGTTGTGGTTGAGAGAATATGCAT